CTAATCCTAAATTATAATGCTATTCAGGACTTGGTCAGTCTGCTTCTCTGCACATTAATTTTTATTTCTCACAGAACTGTCTCTTAAATCAATGAAAATCTTAGTGAACATTTGCAGTTGTTGTGTCTCTAGTATAAATCAAAGTGTGGATAACATCAAAAATGTCAAACATGCAACACATCAACTTTATGTTTCAAAAAGTAATGACCTCAGAAGGCAGCACATCTGTGAGATTATTCTGATGCCTCTGCACCACACAAGCTACAATTTTCTTTTGATTGCAAAGAGCAACTCCCCTCAGTAAGAGCTTTGCGTCCTGTGATAGCACTCATCCAGGAGAGGGCTGCACCAATTAGCTAGCATGTCTCTCAAGAGGCAGTGAAGTCACTCTTTATGGGAAATCTGACACCAAAGGCATACTGTTGCCATATGGTGAATATTACCTCTTGTATATAATGGGTAAGTTTGAGATCCAGCACTTGAAAAACGACTGTGACCAGTGTCAAAACAAAGTGCGTAAATTAAAACATGGCTAAAGGGGGACAGAAGACAAATCATCCTGCAAGATGATCAATCGACACAGCGGAGAAGAAGCAGAATGAGTTTTATCGTTTTATAGCCCCCTTGAGTCATTCCTGCGAGGAAGATGAGAAAAATATTAAAATGTAATCATATGATGAGAACTACGTTTTCTGGCTGTCCTTGATTTTTATAGCTCGTGCTACTATTATCATTATTATTATTATTATTATTTGCCAAATTACACAGTTGGAGATTTAAAAATGGTCTACCTGTCTAGACAGAGACCAGAAAAAAAAAAAAAAACATGATCATAAGCTGCCTAAATCTTGCTATTAGGGGAAGTGAAATGACAACTTGAAGTCAGATCAAGCTGCTTTAATTAGTTTCAGTTTTGAACACGAGCAAGTCTAATCCTCCCAGTATACTAATAAACAGACCCATGCTGCTTGCAGGAAATTATCATCAGTCGCTAAAATATTCAGGAATCCATTTTGACGCTATAACGTGATAAGCAAATTTCCTGTTGTTTATTTAATGCTTCTCTGTTTGTGGGCAAAACCGAATGAAGGAATTCCCATGTTTGTGTATTAGGTCATTTTGCCACAGATGAGTAAAGTGTGGCGTTACTTTATGTAAAGTATGTGTGCAAGTCTTTATAGATCCATGTGCGGCTCATTTTAGCTTGGTTCAATAACACTGTTGTCTGGAAGGACAAGACCCACAGCTGGTCTTTTACCTCTTTACCTGGAGCCACTGCTGGTAATTAATGACAGAGAAACAAATCCCGCAAGACATGAATTTTACATCAGGCTGTTTATGTGCGCTCGTGCTGTTCGGTGTGATTCAGGCTTACATGATAGGGACTTGGAAGGTAAAGAGCCACAAGACAATTCCTGTGCACAGTCTAATTTGGTGCTAAAGAACATATCATTATCCCTGAAAAAATAAAAAGCTGTAAAGGAATTATTGCCGGGCTGATGGCTTTATTGACATTTGTTCTTTAAAGAGCAATAGACGAGAAAAGCTCAGCCCGGCATATCTCGTGTCTGTGAGACGTAATTTATGAGGCCTGAAACTGAATACTGCGGAGCAGCAGGCGTAGCACAGTCACAACTAGACTGTCTGAGTCAGGAGGAGGGGACGGCAAAGCAGCTTGCAAAACAGAGACATGCATGTAGACAGGAAGATATATGTGGGGACAGAAATATACTCAAGCGCAAAACACTCTAAAACTCTCTGTCATGCACACCTATGAGGTCCACTCAAGCAGTTTCTAGACATAATCCAGCAAGCAGAACAATTAGAGCTCTTTGAAATCCCCTGACATGTCTACTGCAGACGCTATTTCGGTTGCCAAATATGCTTCAGAGGATGGAGCACGATACATCTATAAATGTTCTTTGACTTGAAGGCTCACCTGGAGGCATCCTACAAAGCAAAGCACGGTGAGATGCTATGTTTGGGTTTACCCACAAAATGACAACAGAACAATGTTTTTGTGGTATGTAGAATGCAAGATGCAATACAGATTTTTAATTCCACGCAGTGCTGACTTGTTGGTGAGTTTTACAAGATTGCTTCTGGCAGCTAAGCCTTTTGGACTAAGCTATCAATTTTGACTCTCGTCTTTAAGGTCTCAAATCGATACAACCTCAAAAACAAATTAATTTTCTCTTTTCTCTCCTTGTTACTTTGAAATATTCCCGGCAATTACTGACTAAGGAATCAGTTAATGCCTTTGCACAACACAGAGAATGCATTACAAATGTCTCTCCAAGTTTTGTAACTAAAGACACTGCGATGCGCTTCCTGTATTGGCATCCACTCCTTTTAGGCAGATGTCTGAGGAGGCAAACTCTCCAAGTATTGCTTTGTGTTCACAATGCATTAGTAAGTCACAGGCATGTCCGCTAAATCTGTGTGAACTGTTTGGTACAATAAGCAGAAAGATCAATACAGGGAGCGACCTGAGCAAATCGCTTCAACCGCGGCCCAAAAAAAAAGCAGCCCACAGTGTTACATACACCCAAAGACACGTTGCTAAGATCAATTATTTGCTGCTTTGATCGTCTTGCCAAAGCTCGGCTAATATGAACCCATAATCCCTGCTGTCGTTTCCACACCTCTCTAGTGTGAGCATCACAGTCAAGGTTGTTGCTTCTGATAGAAAAGGACACTGATTGTTGTCACACAAGCACTAATAAAGAGTGAGGATGCTCTAGATTTGGTGTTCGAGCTAACTTCGCTCTGTGGTCGATGAATCTTAATGGGTACTATTAATTTTCTTTATGCCTCGAGTTTCCCTCAATTTCAGAGTTAGACATTATTTCAGCATGATAAGGCTACCGTGCAGAATAGGTTGTTTAATTCAGCAGCATATTATGGGCAAGCAATAAATCCTAATAGCTACACAGTAAAGACGTTAGAGGTACAGATATGAAAAAAAAGAACAACAACTATTAAACTAGAAGCAATTATTTTCTGGTGCCCTTCACAGAGCTTGGCGTCGTGCAGCTGCTTGCCTTGTTTAGAGGGAAGAATATGTTCCCATAAAACATGGTCAATGAGGCAAGTTCTGAAGCAAAGATCTGAATGTGTCTCAGTGACAGAAGGGTAGCAGGAAACCAGCACTTAAGAGTTATAAGTGAAATCAACAACTATGTTCTGTTACTGCAGGGAGTGACAACACCAAACCTATGTGGCATTTATGTTTACCCAGGCATTACAGTTGCGGAGAGAGCACATTAAATCCTTCATTGGAAATGCTTTGTGATGGCTACTTCCCTCCTCTCTCCAAGACTCTTTAGAGGCGAAGAGGGTAATTATGATAATTCACTTGTTAATTACATTTACATAAATCAGAATGTGAGCAGTCGAGCTAGCATTTTCCAAGCTTGCTAAAATCAAAATTGGTAGTATTTTTCATATAGTCTCAAACATGCTTTTGAATGAGGCTATGGAGATTCCAAGGAGCAGCGGGAAAACAAACAGACGTGTTGACAAGAGGCCAAAGTTCAGGAGCACACAGACTCCATTGAAACACCAACCTTCCCCCCTTCTCTTCAACAGCACAAGTCAAGAATCAGATTTCACCCCGTTGGCAACCCCTCCCGAATATCCAGAAGTTAAAAATCATAACCTAATATGGACCAGCGCTCAAGGGGAGCAACATGAGCCTCCAACGTATCGTTGAGTTGGGTCAAAATTTGAGTTTTTCCACTTTGTGCGGAAGACTTATCCAGGCTGTATGGGATAAATTGGCTGCTGTTAGGTAATTAAACCCATTATCAGCCTGATGTAATGTCCCTGTCTAGTGACACATATGTCGCCTCTCAGCACTTCACAGATTAATTTAAGCCAGTTACTCGCCTGACAAGATTCCTCACTGTAATAGATCTCTCTTTACTACCATTTTTCTGCACAGATCCACCATGTGGTTCATATCTCACACACATTTCAGCCTTTGAAAAATATTAGCCAACAATAGGGTGGTGATTATCACCTCATCTGTTACAAAAAATGGCTTCTGCAAAGTTGAAAAGGTAACCATAGCAACACAACTTGAAATCCTGAGGCAGGGAGGAGAGGATAACCTCTGTCATACTGTGCGCAATCCTTTTTCGACATGTTCCCAGCATGAGAGGGAAGTTCAGGAGGGCATTGTAGATAATAGTTGTGGATAAGGTTTGAGATTGAAGAATTTGATGGGGTCCAAGCATCAGCTGGATAGAGCGCTTCAGTCTGCCTCGTGGTAATAAAGAGAAAGATTTTTTGTGGTTGTGCAACCCCACAGAGAGTTATCCCTTATTCCAAGGTGAATCTGTAATTTCTGCCTGCAAATGAGACCTTTCCCCAAGAATAACACAACCCTCTTTGCTTTATCACACCTGAATTGCATCCAAAATTAAAAGGCAGCCATCTGTGACATCCCATGCTGCTGCCAAACAATGGAGGAATTACTCTGAGACAATGGATTACACAGAAATGGAGCAGCACTCACCTTCGGCAGGATCAGGTGGCCCGAAGTCCAGGTCGTAGCGCAGGATGTAGAAGTTATTCCACACATACAGCTGGTTATCTCTGGGGTTATAATCCACAGCGGTGATGTACTGGTACTGGTTAGGGAAAAGGATGTCGGTGTATTCGCCTTGGTTTAGCTTGGTATTGTAGATGTAATCGATTTGGCTGCGACTGGCCTCACTCTCGTTTTCCTCGTAGGTCGAGCGGACTACGTGCAACACGCCACACACCATGAAGGCGTTGGAGGCTGAGCGCTTGTCGTACGCCGTTTCCCAGGTGCCCTCAAAGCGAAGCGTGTACGGGTTCAGCTGGCTCACCACTATGCGTCCGTTGTTTTGCTCTGTGGCGTAGATTACCCACAACCCCCTCTCATCCACCGAAAGGTCAATGTCCGTTTTGCCACCCCAGCGATAAGGGGAGGTATCATGATAGTTGGCATTGTTTACAATTGCTTCACCGCTTTTGATGCGTGTGCGAAGGTCAAACTTCACAATGTTACGAGTGCGTTCTTTGTTAAAGAAAATAGCACCATCATAAGCAACGAAGCCTGTCCCGTCCACTCGGTGCGGCAGTTTGTAGGTCGTCGTTTGGCGACCATTTTCAAAGTCCTCCAAAGAGGCGTACTCGATGAGGGTGTCAGTGCGGTATGGCGTCCAGGGCATGAAGAAGACTTTGTCTCCAGCCTGCAGCGGGTCTTTGCACCAGGACCCTGCTTGCTGCTCAGCCTCAAACACAAAGGTGGCAGCTTCTACGGCCTTCAGAGTCCCAGGACAAATGAATACTAGTGACAGAGAGGAGAGTGAAACAAAATACAACAAAACAAAATGTTAAAAAGTACAAATTTACACATTGAACACGCACAATTCTCGCTGCAGTGTGACTCAAGTACAGGACGAAAAGATCAGGGGCTGTGAATTTGGAGGAAGCTTTTGACAAGCTTTTGTACTAATGAGTAAGGGTGGGGGGGAGAGAAAACAAATGTACGTGTCAAAAAGATTACTCAGAATGAAAAATGTGAGGTTAATAGAACTTGCATCTCAAGGGACTGCTGCTACACCGTACCAGGGACAAAACAAATAAATCATGAACAAAAAAAAAAAAAAGAAGAAGAAAATATAAAAAAGTCCTGCGAATGAAAGACATGGGAAATGAGAGAAATAGAGTTCACAGTGTTTTGTTTTGTTTCTTTATAAAATACCAGCCTGTCTCTTAAGTCAAATGCCACGTGAACAGCTGGGTGTATGGACACACGGCACATGCATTCTCACATGACTGGGGTCATAAAATGAGAAAAGGGAACAGACTTCACATCTTGTGATAAGAGTGAACAACAGGTTGTCAATGGTGGTGAAGGCAGCAAAGCAAAGGTAAAATGAAAGTGGAGGTTGGGGAATAGATAGAACAACAGTGGTAAAGGATTTTCACTACTTTCTGTGGTGAAAGACAATAGAAACCACTGATGGTTGAGGGAGGCCGTGGCAAGGTTCCAATACAAATGAACTAGTTCTGGGTAAACAAAGAAACAGAAAATTTTAGTTTTCTTTTAAAACATATTTTTTGGTCGATGCCAAACTCACTCAGCCATCATTGCTATTTCACATCACGTGCTATGGGTACAGCAGAAGTTGGGCCAAGCAAACTTAGACTGAGCCAAATTAGGAGTATCCACACAACTAGTCATTCTTCAAGGGGTTAATTGCTACAAGAGGGTCCCAGGAACAACACCGGACACTTTGGTGTTTTCTTTCATATTGCATAGGAAAACTTTGTTTGGCAACCACGGTTGTCATTTGAAATTTCGTACTGCAAATTATTTGGATTCCATGGGCGCAAGCCATCCTCCTATCGGGTTTACGATGTGACAAGAAAGGTAATCAGGAGGGGAGGAGTGGAGGGTGGGGTGGACGTGAGGGGAGCTGTACTCAACACCACAGAACAAGGAGTCGAAGGAAGGGGGGAGGGATGGACCAGACCACTCATTTACCTTTTTGCTCCACTTCTATTTCAGGCATTGGAAAAGAAAGCAAAAAAAGAGTGCAAAAAGGGAGAGAAAGGTTATCATGAGTTAGGCAGTAGATACAGAGAAAGAGAAATAGTTGGAGGGTATGACCATGAAATGAATTGCGGAGCTGGTTGGTGTGGAAAAGCTAGAAGGAATTGAAAAGAGGTGTTTGTTAGTGAAACGGCATCTCATCCTAGGATATAAAAACAGACAAGTTATAACTAGAGTGTGGTGCTCTCTAAGCTTTTCATTAAACTTTTCATCCTGATCATCTTTATCTGTTAATAAAATACCACAGTGGCCGAACAAAAACAAAGCAGAACAAACCCCTCTCAGAATTCTTCTCCTAAGTGCCAGAAGGGGGGAAAAAGTAGCACAAAGTCCTATTTAGATGGATAGCGGAGGTAGAGAAAAAGGACAAATCTTTTTCTGGCATGTATTGGCTGAGGATGGAATTTGTTCAGACTTTCTAAACACAAATCAAAACTCAACCCTATCGCCCACACACGTAAAACATGACACGGTGCTAACATTACAGACCTGACTCGTAAATGAGCCAATGAGAGCAACAGCACATGAGATGACTGATGGATAGTCAGCCTAATATGGAGTTTCTTTAGTGGGCTGTTGCAGCTGCGACATACTGCAGTGAGAGCGGAAGAGACTGGAGACAGTAAGTAAAATAGATTGAACGTTTGGGGGGAAAATGTGAGCAAAAAGTTAGTCGGAGGGAAACAGAACAAGAGGTGAAACGAAGGTCTGTTTGAAAGAAAAGAAAAAGGTTTTATTTCTGAAAATGTTTACAGTTCATCAATTTATATATACTGAGTACTTTCCCAGGCTGGAGAGGAGCCCTGAACTGCACTTATAAACTACTTTAAACCCCCTTTTAAGGTAGATTAACTTTTAGAACAGTGCTGGATTTAACTAAATTTGCAGAACATTTAATTAAACAACTTGAAGACTAATAAAGATTTATGACTTAGTGCAAGAATTTGGTTTAGTCTGCGGGACAGATGCAGACTTATCTTAGAGTTTTTAGGATTATTTTCTCTGGCTTTTATGAAAAATTTTGTTTACACAAAAATGAGCAAATACACTGTCCTGGTGAGACCATTCAGTCTAATTTCAGCGAAAGAAGCTGTAAGAAGTATCCAAAATGTCAGATGACAGAAATTCATCTAGTCGTGCAGATGGTTTTAGTTCGATTTGTCTTGTAGAAAAACCCACCTCTCAGATTTCTACCACCTCACAAAAATGGGAAAAACAGTTGTTTTTTTTAAAGGAGGAATAAATGGACTTTCCAGTGTAAACCGATCACAGCAAAGTCTGGATTATCAACTGAAACAGCATTTCTGTTAAAAAAAAAAAAAAAAAAAGTAGCCATTGAGAAACTCATTTCAGATGATATGAACGTGGCAACCTATAAGCAGAAATAAATTTACTGCGGTTGAAGCAGGAGTCTTGGATGAACAGGGACAGGACACATCTACAGCCTTTTATCACATCCAAATCCCAAATGAAATCCTTTAGTAGAAATTAAATCATCTGGAACTCCTTCTTGAAGCCGACTTTGCTAGTATTTAGTGATCAGAGGTAAAATTGTAAATGACTAACACATAAAAATCTAATTTGTCACCTCAACTATAATAAAAAAAAATACAGTTTGAAGTAAAGAAATATTACGTGACTAACTATGAGACGAGACGTGAATGTGCACACAAACGGCAATTAAAAGACCAAAACTACATCTGAGGAGTTTGACACAGTTGTGTACTTCTGAATGCATCTTAAATAGGCGCAAAAAGCACATTAAAGTGACAGCAGTCACAATTTTTGATCTTACTGGTGGAGATTTATAATCAATTAGCCAGAGTTAATCATCTGCGATTGATTCTTGGCATCTCAGCAGATGCTGTGCTTTTCTACTACCGTCAGTGAATTTGGTGTGAACTCGTTTGGTTGTTTCAACTTCTGTGTGTTATAGTTGACGGTGATAAATTGAGAAGTGGTTAAGACTAACGTGAAAAAAAAAAGACTGAAAGGAACAAAAACAAAACCAGTAACATTTGGTGGATGAGAGGAGTTTTCAAGAATGTTCTTCAGTTTGACACTTCCTCATTGTTTTTTCATGTCGGGAAGTGTTGGGCATGTTTTGTTTTGTTCGCAAGAAGTGGAAACAGTTGGTCAGTCGGAGTTTGATTTCAGCTAATAAGAATTAAAAAAAAACTTTGATGGTTATAAAGTTGCTTGTTGATCCAGATTTGAAAATGATAAATCATCTCAAGTAACATATTGCAACTTTTTAAATTCAACTTTCCATCAAGGCAAAGTGAGACTAAAAACCTTTTGGAAAAAAAAGTTAGTTTTGAAATTTAAAGCATCCATAAACTGTTTTTATTCTTAGCAATGTTTACTAAAATATCCATCCTTCCATGGATAGATGGACGTTTACAGAAATATCCAGCACTTATTATTATCATTACTAAACAGACAGCGCTGACTAAACTTGAGGAAAATGTTACCTGAAAGTAATAGAGAGAGAAAAGTTTAAACATTTGTTTGACACTTTGTTGCTCGGTTTCTTATTATTGTTTTTTCTCTCACTAATCCAAATCTGTATCCAAGACCAAACAAGTGTCTCACGTACAAAACAGTAATAATAATCATCATCATCATCATTAATCTCTGTGCATGACTAGACTCCATTAAATGTAATGAAGAAATTGTACTTTTACTATAATTAGGGTAAAACGAGTGTCAAATGTCAGACAAACTTCACTTTTTTTTTACAACGCGTCATTATTAATGATACATTCACATTCCATATCCATGATCTGCAGCGTCGTCTGTCAGAGCTGAGGAAAACGTTCAAAAGCGGAGAGAGAGAAAGAGGCTGGAAGTCACATGAGACACTTTGAAATCACACAACAAGATTTCAGTATGAGATTTGGATGGCGATACTTACTATAGGGAACACACTCATACTGGACCTCTAAGTACTTGTAGGTGCCAGGGCATGGATCAGGAAAGACATCAGAGCCAGTGACAACCACACACTGCGTACGGTTGTTGCACCTAGGGAACAAAAAGATTGACCAGAAATTTCGTCATGACTCCCCACAGCAAGAGCACTTGGCAGAGACAACATTAATGACACAAAGGAGGGGAACGTTCCTTGATACAGCCACACTGACATTGATGAAATCCCAGGCAGGACTGTCACTTAACGCACTCTAGTTTTAAACCTTGGCAAACGGGGAGAGGAAATGAAAGCATTAAAGGCGAGTAAATGAAGGTGATGGGATGAATGACAGAGCCGGAGCAGCTAAAGGCATGTTAGGAATTACTGTCTTCGGGCCGCTATTGAAAGAGAGGACATTCATTAAAAGACACACAACAGGTGGTTGTGACATGCGGTGGAGACTGGAATGGGTGGCCTCGAATATTATAAAACAGTTCCTCTGCATGTATGCCCAAACAAGACGTGAATGTGTCAACTCCATGAAAGGTTATTTGCCTACCAGTATATGTTAGTCCCTCAGTGGATTAACAATCTGATGTGTGAAAAGCAGAGATAGCGTGTTTCTGTGTGTATTTGGCTTGGCACATGTTAGTGGGTGCTAAAAAGGGTCTAGTAAAGAAGCAGCGGGGACAAAAAAAAAATCCAAACAATTAAAATAAAAAGAACAGAAGTTTGCTGTAAATACTGTATAGGGTGAAATTGGCTCCACTTGAATCAAGCTTGCTTCAGGCAGAGGGATTGAGAATGATGTCAGCAAGAGAGGCAAAGGAGAAGAAGAAAGAAACGAAAAACTGGCACCGAAAAAAGAAATGTTCAACTGTGTGCAAGCTTGAGATAAATACTAGAAGGTCAAAAGCAGAGATGCCAGTTGGACATCCATTTTTAACACTCGACAATTGGAGATTCAAGGCTGCAAAAAGCTGAACAACAAAAATAAAAAAAGATGGGACTGAAGCAAGATGCTAAAGTAATAATAATAATTTTTAAAAAATGCTGTAAATGCATAACCATTATAAAACTTTACTTTGTAGTCTGCCCAGCAACACACTCCTTTGAAACAAATGGATTATCAATCATAGCATGTTGATAAAAATATTCAAAGTCGTAAAATGGACGTAAAGAAAGAGCAACAGCTTTATCAGCTATGGCTCAAACTTCAGTCACAATACGATGCTTCACTTAGTAGATTTACTTTTGTGGCTCCAGCACTGCAAAGACTCGCCTCAAGGAAAATGGGTCACTGCATCAAAATGTGACCTGACTGACAGCAGGCGAGACCAACGACATCACCTCAAATGCACCCAGAGACGCTCTAGTGGCAGAGAGGAATATTACTTTATTGGTATGATCTGAAATATTAGAAGTTTAATCCTTATCTACTCATTATCTGCTTGTTTGACATCACTTGACTGCATATGATCAGTCTAATTCTGTAATAAGTTTTATCAGTGGAAAAAAAACTGTTTGGTTTTTAGAACTAACAAAAAGGAAATGTTCATTAAAAACATCCGTATTAAACTTCATCAATGACACAATTTTTCTGATTTAAACAAGTTTTTTTTTTCTTTTTGTTTCCATCCATCCATCCATCCATTTTTCATTTCCTGAGCTGATCCCTTTGTTCAGCTCAGCAGTCATTGTGTGAGAGACAGAATACACCCCAGAAAAGACCGTCCATCACAGGGCCACACACAGGAAAAACAACCATTCACACTCGCTCACACTTCGGGACAGTTTAGAGCGGTGCTTCTCAAACTGGGGTCCCTGGATCCCCCGGGGGTCCATGAACCAGTGCTTGGGGGGGGGTCCGCAAAAACAAATTATATTTTTAACATTTTTTTTACAAGCATGTAGATCAGAGCTTTTCAACTAAACTGCTCCGGGGGCCACAGTTTCTGAAAGCCAGCAGCTCAGGGTCCGGACATCCAGTGATTAAAGTCATTCTGTAAATAAACCAAGTTCTACAATGATCTGTTACATTTTAAATGTGTTAACTTTACTGCATTGAATCATAAATGCAATAAAACAGAATCCAAAACCCAAACCCAGAACCCCCCCGCCGAAAAAAAAAAATATATATAATTTTTTTTAATGAAGTGGGCTGGATTGAAGTCACCCGTGGGCCGCCAGTTGAATAGCCCTGACGTAGATATTTAACAACCTGTTAAAATACACCAAAATGCAGGAAATCACATCTACTTTTTTCAAAATTTTCAGGGGGAGGACCCCAGAACACGATCCACCTGCTATTTGCATTCCGACATCAGTTGGTTTACAAATGAAACCCTGTTACTTGGTATGACAGCTGCTGTTATGATTCTGTTCAGTTTTATGTAATAATTTGAAAAAGTAATACATTTATTACGTTCATTATGTGAATAGGTAAAGTTTTAAAGTGGTTTTTGATTCTGTTAACTGTCAATTTTGGAAGTAGAAATTAAAATTCTGTTAATTAAATGTGCCTTGAATGAAAAATACCCCATATTTAAAAGTATAAAAATTGCATTAACACTATTAAAGAACAGGTCTTAAGTACCGTATGTATGTTACGCAAATATTTCCGCTGCGTTCAAGAAAGAAACTGAAGACAATTATCTAATAAACATGAGGGCTATGAGGGGGTCCCTGAAACTTTTTCTCCTCTGTAAGGGGTCACTGAACCCAAAAAGTTTGAGAACCCCTGATTTAGAGTATCCAGTAAATCTAAGATGCATGTTTTTGGTCCGGGGAAAGAAAACCAAAGTAACTGGTAAAAACCCACACGAACATGCAAACTCCTAACAAAAACTCAGGAAAGTGCAATTGCAACTTTTTCACTGTGAGGCATTAATTCTAATAACTGCACCACAGTGCCTCCCTGTTTGGTTATGGTACTTGCCTTGATGAAATTCTAGTGATCATGTCACACAGGCACTTTACGAAGCTGAATGACTCTCTGACGCCAATACAAAAGAAAACATTTGGGCACATTTGGGGAAACCTGATAATGATTCACTGACATTTTAGCTCCTTTTCCGGTCTCTATCAACTTAATAAGGAAATATTTCCATTTGTTAGTTCTCTGTTGAGTAGCTGTTTAACAGGTCGTGTGCAGCTAACTGTGAACTGTGAGACCAAAACAAAACTCTTTGTTTGCCAGGCAAAAATAAAATGAACAATGCAAAGATTTAAAACATTAAAAAAAAACAAAGTAGTTCAGGGCTATTCAACTGGCGACCCAGGGGCCAAATCAGGCCCATGGGTGTGCTCAGTTCGGCCCACCAATGGGTTAATTTTTAAATAAAACTCAATTTTAAATAATAAAACAACCTCACTTAATGACAATAACTACTGGATGTCTGACCCCTGAGCTCTTGGCTTTCAGTAACTGTGGCCTCCTGAGCAATTTAGTTGAATAACCCTGAACTAGTTGGAGCATCATATTATATCATTTGATCTTTTGTAGGTACAAAATAGGATTGCGCGATATATACGGTATATACGGTACACGGTAGAAAGGATAGAGATCTGTCTTCTACCAGCTAACTGCAGTAATGCTGTGTCTGATGTAAAATCAGATTTGTCAGATTTAATTGTTCCTTTTTTTTTGTTGAAAACTGTGCGTAAGTGGTGTTAAAGTATTTTCTTGGAGAGCTAAGTAGCGAAGCTACAAGCGCCAGCTTGCCGTAGTGTTGCCATATTCGGACGCATGCGCAAAACGCTGTGTTCCATCGAAAGTTTTTTTTTGTTGTTGTTTGAAAGTTAAAGTAAGCGTTAGTGAGCTTTAGAGAAACCTGCTCTCTGATCTGTGAAAAGAATGCTGTGTTGTGTGATTTTACTGCGAGACCCTCTGGTCAAAGCCACAGACTCATTTTGTGTCAGCTCTCCGTTAAAGTGGAAGGAGGCGCCCACTAGAGGTTTGGAGGGTGAAGTGTTTCAGTGTAAAATGCTGCTCTATTGTTCATTTCTTAAGTGAGAATACTGGAAACTGTTAAGAGTTAACAACATATTCTTTTGTTTAAAGCATATGGCTAAAACTAAGTTTGATATATTTTGCACTGTTTTGCACTACAAAAACGAAGCCTAATACTTGATTTGTTTATTATTTAAAAACTCTCTGGACCTAGTAGTGGAGTTTTCTTAATTCAAAATATATGATGGCCAAAGGACACCCTACGCTTTTTCCCCCATTCCTATTGCAAGTTTTATACCAAAAACATATCGTGATATATATCGTTATCGCCACCCAAAACAATACATATCGTGATATGAATTTTATGCCATATTGCACATTCCTAGTACAAAATATTGATTTGTGTACATTACCTTAAAATAAGGATCAAAATACCTTTTCCAGCTCTGTTAACTCTTATTAGCATTACAGAAGAAACTGTTATTGCTTATTGTTTGCTATTCTGACAGTTTGTATGAAATTTGTTCTGCACAACTTGATGGCAGTGAAGTGTTTTGACCAGCAAACGATCAGTCTGTTAGTTTTAAAGCTTTTAAAGGGTCAGAGAGGAGGACAGAGTTTAAACAATATAACACAATGTATAAAAAGTACTAAATGTATTTTGATCATAATTATTTACAAGTGATTTTTTTGTTTGTTTCTGCAATGGTTGAAAGATGGAATTACAAAAGCAGGCAAAGGTCAAACTTTTGTTCTCAGCGCCACTTTAAAGGAATGTTTGGTTGAATATTAATCAATGTGGGCCTCCTTCATCACTCCAGTCCCACATTCTTTTCAGCCGCTGTTTTATCAACAACTAAACACACTTTCCTTAACTATACATTTGATATAGCGATTGCACAAAATCAAGCCTTTTGAGTCCTGTCTAGATGCTTTTGTTGGGGGGATAGAAACGCACCGCTGATTAATGTTTTCTGTTGCAATTTCTAAACCAACAAAACTGCCAGTCTGTGAAGCAGACTTCCAACTGTTTCCATCCACCCAGTCCTGCTTAATTTGTTTGTTTATCCGTCTGTGGGGCTGTTGCCTTTTGTTAATCTTGACAGTATTGACAGGCTGTTGTGATGGAGTTTAAATACCCTCCTTCTACTTTGCTGCACACCAATGGAGCGCTGATTGGGGTCTCCAAAAGATCTGTGGCTTCTTTAGAGCACCCATTTATCACATCGTCTTTAATTACGGTCAGGAGCCCATTTCCTTTGATTTAAATCATGACAATAATCCTAGTTAGGGGCGTGCGGTGCAAACTCTTCACCAAGCCTTTGCTCGCCACTGCCTCCAGAGAATCTTTGGTGAAGATACGTTTAAAATGAAGCAACGGCGAGTGAGAGGCTGACTTGTCAACAAGTGTGTAGCAGTTGGCAGTCGAAGCACAGGGCATGGCCACTGTCATCAGCATGTTACTGCATGACTGTACTGGAAATGTGGTGTAAATTTAGAAAGACGGCAGACCTTGATGTGTTCATTAAATCCTTCTGTATAGCTGACTCTCATGTGAGTAAACACAGAAGAGAAGGGAAAATCCCAGAGGTCTGACACGGTGGGCGATTATGCTTAAAAGCCAACTTTAAAGAGGAGGGCAACACACTGGAAAGTGAACAAATTCCTTATGAATTGCTCATCCAGTGCCCTTTAAAAATACACACACCTCCAGGGGTAAGCAGCGGTCAAGCTCGAGCGTTGCTGCGTATCCTTTTGACGAGAAGGCAGCATCCTGCAAGAGGGGAACCAGGATAAAAGACATGACGATGGGCATTGCTCACTACCTGAGGCAAAGCCACTTCAATGCACTTACAAGTGTTTAAACAAAGCACGCTCTGTGTTCCAGATAGGGAATTAACGGGGTGTTCATGTGACTGGCGGGCTCTCTAAGCTACACTGATTATGACTCAAACAGAGGCAACAACATGCAGCTGGTGTGAAGAGCTCAGCCGCACGGATGTCACTTCCTGCCCGTCAAAAATTAATCTGCGCGCCGCTTTTTTTAGACTTTAAATGTCACCAACATAATTCATTAAATGATAGAAAAACTAACATTTGAAAGGTGTAAGATGATGGCATTTGCCCGAACACATTCAACTGTCTGTAGGTATTAAGGTATGTTTCGGTGCAGTGTATCATATTTTGCATTTAATGTTTTTTGCAGAGTTATAAAAGCCAGACCAACACTAATAGGTGTTCCTCTTCTTCCCACAGAAAACACCAGCCCAAATCAGCCTAATTCACAACATTTGCCGGAGCAACTCTTGTCTTTTTGCTGAGGTGAATTTGTTGGACTCCGAGACTGTGGATGCTTCTTCTTTTTGTTTGGATCTAAGAATTACTAACAGGTCTATCATGTATATTAGCCCTCGCGCCTCAATGTGACTAACTTGTATAAATAAAGGTTGAATGAAAAACTACAACAACAACTTCCTTTTGATGGAAATGCTCCCACTACATGTCAAGTTGTTAGTTTAGCATGCCTTAAAAAGCAGAATGAGCACAAATTTTGAGTTGTTTTATCAATTCAGACTAAAAAAGGTGTCTTACGCATTAAAGTATGCCCATCCGTTACCTCACATGCTAAAATTAAAGTTACAAATGTTTAAATGAGCATAAAATGGGCTCTTCAACAGCTCCTTTGTGTGCAGTAGTACCATTTTCTTTTCTTAAATGGAGCGACACACTTTTCCTCCCCGGCTCCTGGTTGTGTTTGTGAAATAAGATCCCTCCTATTCCCAGCGCTTTACCTTTGTGATATAATCTTGTAAGCATCAGGGAGGTAGCAGTTGACATTCTCCATCTGGAATGGGTCAGCGTCACAGATCTTGTCATCAGTGCGGCCGTAGTTGGCCGTCTCGATCATAATGACATCACTCCCCGGGCAGCGGAGATCAATTGCATATCCTTCACATGAGAGCTCTCTCCTGACCAGCCCGAAAGGCATGGAGTGCACTGCACGGCTGAACCCTGACACAGAGACAGAGAGAGAACATCACAGTTATTTAGTTAAGGGCTCGCTGCTGCAGTACAATAAGGCTGCACATCATGCTGTAAAAATTTGCTGGCACAACCTAAATACGCAATAGCAGTCCAATGTTTACCACATTCTAAACAGACAGGCTGTTACACACAATCCAGGACAAGGAGAAGACAAAACAGTTCATTTCTTTATCTCTGTGTGGTCATGGCTGTCAAATCTTTTGACTCATTGGAGATCAGTGGTAATCTAATAAATTCCTGAACAAACACCAAGGCTACAGTACTTGAAGATATTCACCACTAACAGAGAGCATCCATTACCAGAACCAAATCTACTTGGCTGAGAATGGTTTGTTTTACAGTCATACAAGCCCTCTAATTTATTTATTTTTCTTTGTTTGCTTTAGAAAGACAGACAGAAAAAGGCAGAATCCTAGTGGAGTGCAATATAATCCATTTTACGCTTTGGACGATCAAAGATGGGACAGTGTGGAGTCCACAACATGAAGAATAATCCACAGGTGAAGCAGAGCAGATGGAAGCATAGCCAAATAGTTCCAGTTTGTGAGAAAATGAAGTTTTCCATGCCCATCTGTGTCTCTTTAAGCAAATTACTTGAAAATTGTGAGGAAAGATGCACATGACGACTTGTAAAATGTGGGAAGAAAATTCAAAAAAATTCAAAAAGAGAATTTCATCCAATGAAGCTAAAACGATTCAATCTAAAGATCCAAACTGTCTGCAATTCTGAGAAAACAGTTAGGTACAATCTAAGCAAAACATAGAAATGTGCTCCATTAAAGTAGAGCAAGGAGAGCTCGGCGTGAACTGTCAATAATCGTCGTTGTTTTCAGCACTGGTGGGCTCCTTAAAGAGCAGCTACCATTTGTATTTTCTACACTGCTCTCTCCTAATTAGCCCTCCTTTCAGCCTGGTACCTTTTCCTTGCTCCCATTGGCTCTCGAGCATTGTCATGTAGTAACACTTACCACCCCGGGTTCACTTTGCCCCCTCACTCTAATTATCCTCACACTTTTGATAGCCAGAGCCTGACGCAATTAGCATTGTTTGAACTGCTTAAAGCTGAAGTGATTTCGGCTTGAAATTCCTGCCCTTAAAACCCGACTGGCGTGTCTGTTAAGGATTTCAGCCTGCTGCGCATGGTTTAGTTTTAATGGTATTCAGTTTAAGGCTGCACATGCCATACTAGCAAATAGGGGGAAAAAAGGCATCTGCAAAACATTCACTGTTAAGAATAAAATGTTTGAGTCACTGCATATTAAGGAAAACTTCTACACACACAAGTTGAAGTGGCAGAAGAACAAAATTTGATAGTAGAAGATTCTCTGGCATTTGGAAACTAGGCATTTCATCATAAAACCACGATCCATCTAATACCCTGTAGATTGTTCTTAGCTGGACTGTTTATCACCTCATTAGAAGACAATCATCTAGCCAAATCCTAAGTGAAGGGCTGCGGGGTCACTGCATCCCTTCCAATAACTGCGACAATTACCCAAACCTTTCAAAAAACCTGTCCAGAATGGTGGATGATAAAACCCAGAGAGAGAAGTTGGCGGCTTTATTGCGAAGACTAATGACCGTCCCGCCTGCCATTCCTCACGGAAGGAGTGACGGGTTTATCACAGCAGCTACAGAGAACAGACGGAAAGAATGTATCTCACGAGGTTTTAAAATTCTGTGCAGAAAGACTGTCTTTCTGCTAAAACACCCTCACGGACACACGCTCCATCTGCCTTTTTCAACTTCCCCTCTCCTGCTGTCCAATGGCGGCTCTGCACATGTATCAGAGCAGTATGGCATGTTGTTGTCAACAGAAGTCTTGCAATTGATTAGGCGTGTGCCTGGCTGGCCTCCTCCCACTCTCACCAGTATATAGATCTCTTTGGTCAAAGGGTAACACTACATCAATTAGGGGGAGTACCTAGAGTGTGCTGGAGGCCTAAAAAACAAATTACTTCTTCACCAAATTGTACAAAGTCTTGGTCTCATTAATGTCTGGCTTGTCAACTTGTAACTGGGCATGTAAAGACAAATCTGACTAGAAATTTAGGATATGCTGTGTGTAAAGAAGGTTTTTTTTCACTGTGTAGCAAATGAAAACCTAAATTCACAGGAATATATTTTTAGTGACTTAACTGGATGTTGCTTAAGATCTCAGGATTTAGACACAGCCATGAAGGAAAAACCTTGTGACAACAAAGGTTTCTGGATATGTGTATTCTTCTGTGTGGATTTCCTTGGTTTAAACAAGTTTTGTGAGATTTTGAAAGGAAGAGAAGATTGTTTGTGTGCACAGTGTGTCTCGGGGAGGCAAGAAAAGCTTTTCATCTCACGCTCTGTGCTTTGTTTGACTGATCAACTTTGCAGCAGTTGAAGATTGCAACAGAAGGCCACCAGCTGCAGGGAAAACGGTGTCAAGAAAACTGCAGGAAAAAAATCCATAATGCAAACCCTGTGTAAGTGTGTGCAGAGAAAAGGGTGCTCTTGTCGCATCTGTGCTTCTGTTTAACATTAAATCAGAGAGGGACCTTTATATTTGATAGTCACAATCGAGACAAATTGCCATGGTAACTCCTTTAACTTTGTGATAATTGGCTCTGATCCTCAATCCTGCCCCTGTTGACTTGAGGCCTTATCATGCATTCATGTCAGTGAGGGGCTGCACACGGAAAGTAGCTTTTCAGATTCCCCATCCTGACCTGCCTGCTAAGCTGTCAACTGGGCTCATGAGAGCAAAGTAAGGTTGGTACTGCTGCTCAATATATTGCATTCCAGGAGTTTTGTTTTCCTTCAGCTGAAAGCCTATAATTCACCACCAGCAATCCCCATCATAATACATATTTTGTTTTCTATCAGCAGTCCTTAAATTGGAAGTGGCACTGTTGCTAGGATGGGTGCATCTGAAACCATCCTAGAGTTACACTCGATAGCATAAAAAAAACCGTTGAGATAAAACCAGAACACTTTGCAGGTTGAGTGTAAGTAATTGCCGTTTGACAACAACAAGCAGCAGACCATGACACACATGTTCAGGTTCATTTTTGTTGCACTGCATGTGGGCTCTCAAGACTGCAGTCACGATGACCAGCCTTTAACCCTTCAAACTACACTCCACTGGGACATCAGACAAGTCAAGGAGGGGTAAAAACAATTAAAGGAATGTTAGGTTTAAAAAATGGGTCATTTTTGGATGGTAAAGAGAATGACGAGGCTTGGCACAGACAGAGAGCAAAAGCACTGGTTGACGCTTGTCATCTTCCATTAAGTTTCCTTTGATTGGCCTTTGTGGTCCTGGAAACGGCAAACAGCTGCATGCAAATGGCCCTGCTTCCCCGAGGCTGGCCCCTATTGTTCTGGGTTTTGGTTAGACAGAGACGCTTTCTTTAGCAACATAAAAGAGGGTGTAGCCTTTAGTTAAATAAGAGTGCCCCCAGCGTGGTCACAGCAGGAGCACTTCAAGATTGTTTGTCTTTTTATGTTGTTTCATTTCTGATTCTACCGGTAACCAACATCTTTGGAAGAAAGAGCAAGTCTTTAAAGTCAAGTTTTTTTTCCTACATCAGTGGAAGATGCTTCTATAATCCAGTATCTGGAGAGGTGTGGTCAGACTCAACAGGTGTCACTCCTCTAGAGAAAAGGTATTTCAGTGGGAACTAATTAACAGCATATTTGTTGGGGATAGCTTTTTGAACAGCTTTAGTTTGGAAAAATACACTTTAATACGGGTCTAACAAACAAACTGCTTGTTTGTTTGGTTATTTGCAAGCACAAATAGCAGTAACTAGCTGTAGACTAAACTAGTCACAGACTCCAAAGTTCATGCTCATTAATCCAGGTATCCAGGTAATCCTTCTCCTCCTTTTACAGGTGTGCAGTGGAGAGCACCCTGTGCTCCAGCATCAACATGTGGCATGGAGGCTGCACAGCTGCAGAAAGAAAAGCTTTGCAGAGAGTGGTGAAGGCTGCACAGAAGACTGTTGGAGTCAGTCTCCCCACCATCACAGACATCTACACCTCTAGATGCAGGAAGAGAGCCACCTGCATCATGAAGGACCCCACTCACCCAGCACACACACTTTTGCCCCGCTCCCCTCAGGAAGGTGGTTAAGAAGCATTAAGTGTAGAACCACTAGACTCAGGAACAGCTTCTACCTTGAGGCTGTTAGACTCATGAATCTCTAACCAGAATAATCAGTGAAAAATCACATCATGTTGCTGCTGATCTATTTCATGTTACTGTGTTCATTAGTGCTCATCTGCTCACAGAGACTCATGTTCGTGCTGCTGTTTGGCGTATTGTTTTTGTACTATTAGTGCTTAGTGTTTTTAGTTAACGTATTTCTTAGTTCGTATCTTAGATCTTTTAACTGTTTTTCTTTTACATTTTATACTTTTGTTGGATGTAACTGGGACCCTGTGTACACAGTTTTGTTCCAACACATGTGGTGTGTATGACAGGTAAAGAACCCTGAATCTCTGTATAAATCCATTGTCTACAGTCCACAGTCCATAATCCAGTCATAGACTAGCCGTTAGCTTGTTAATCTGCTCAGAATTAAAATATTTTTCTGTAAACCGAGCTTTTTCAAAAAGAATATACAACAGGTAAGATATATAGCTTTTTTTTTTAAAAACCCTACTTCAAAAAATCTGAACTTTTACAAGACAGACTTGTTGATGTTTTGTCTCTTTTACTAAACTTCCTGCTCTTTATTTGTTTCTTAAAACCTTTATTGTCTTGATCAAAGAAAAAACTAAACGGACCACTAAGATGATTCGTTTACACATTTTCTAAAACCTTAGTTTAACATGTTAACAGTAAAAAAAAGAAAAAGTCAGTTCACATGTTTCTTAACTGGTAAGAAAGTCAAAATTCTGCCCAAAATGTTCACAAATGCTGAACATGACCACTCGTCAGATGTGAGAGGCGCAGAGGAGAGAGGTGGGAGATTAGAAAGGAGATT